AGAGAGAGAGAGGGAGAGCACTAAAACAGCAAACCCTCAAGTTGTTTTCATAGAGACGATTGGTGGAAAATCATTAGCCCTTGATACAGGTTTGGGATTGACATTTATTGAGTATTATAAACACAGACGTTTTATATTAGTTTCTCCTCCACCCCCACACTGACCTGAATTAGCGATTGTGGGTGTCTTGTGTGTCTCTCTCTGTCTGTGTGTCTCTCTCGCTCTGTGTGTGTATGTGTCTTTTGCTCTGTGTGCGCACGTGTCTCTCTGTCTCTTTCTCGCTCTGTGTGTCTGTCTGTGTGTGTCCCTCTCTCTCTCTCTCGATGTGTGTGCACGTGAGCGTCTCTGTGTGTATGTGCCTCTCGTTCTGTGTGCTTGTGTGTGTGTGTCTCTGTCTTTGTGTGTGTCTCTCTCGCTCTGTGTGCGTGTGTGGGTCTCTTGTCTGTCTGTCTGATTGTTTGTGTCTCTCAGTGTATTTCAAAACTAATCCTAGCTATTTGATAAAATCTTTACCAAATCCTTAGCTGATCACAGCATTGGTCACCTCGCACTGCCCCTCACTGGTGAAATGACTGGCCCTTTGTGTCACCAGAACTTGTTCATGTCCTCAGCAATCTCCCAGCTATTTCCCTCAGTCCCTGACTCCTGCCTACTCACCCCCTGCTTTGGTTTTCTGTCTTCGAGAGATATTACACAGTCGGTAACAAAATCAGTTCAACATTTCTAATAATAATCCTTACATTTGATACAGATACACAGCAGGAGAACATCATGCGGGTTCAAACCCCCATGTCGGTACTTGGAATCACATAGTCTGAGCTGACACGACAGTGCAGGGCTGGGGGGGAAATGGATGGACGGACGACTGCATCGTCAAGAGGTGTCGTCCTTCGAATGAAACGTTAGCCTATTCAGTTCAGCCTATTCGGATGTTAAAGGTCCCTGTCTGTGTGTGTGTGTGTCTGTTACAGACACACATAGTATCTCCCAGACTAACGCACACAGAGTTCTGTGCTCACCCCCCCACACAAGCCAGGGCTCAAACTGCCTTTAAGGACAACCTTCCACCAAAGCCTGTGAATGGCCTATTGACAAACGCCAACTAATTGAGAGACCTAAAGTTGATTATTCACTGGGTCGCGGTTTAAAGCCCATCTGAATGTTTGTTTGCCTGACCATGGCTTGGGAACCCATCTCCCTCCCCCAGCTGTGCCACACAGACCTGCACTGCTTTATTTATGTTCATTTTGGCGCGGAGAGGATTTAGCTTTTATACAAACTCGGAGGGGGTGCAGTGGGGGGGAAAATGAAACCAGCCGCTGAAGTTCTCCTTTTAAGGCTCTAACAGCAGACGCTGGTGGGAAGGCAGAGAGAGAGAGAGTGAGAGAGAGTGCTGTTTATAACAGGACAAAACATGCAGTTTTTTTGGGGGAAAACTGGAATCAAACTTAATAAGCCAGTGTGTGACTGTGTCTCTATCAGGTCTCTCACTTCTCCCAGCACCACTCATAGCGCAGATTCCTTCATCTAAAGTGGCCATACTGCGTTCAGTGGTGATTTTTAATGCATGTTGGCATTTGTGAAGTTAATCTAATTTGAGGAGGATTTGATAGTTTTTTTTCCCCAGAGAAGAGAGAGTGAGAAGTTGGGTCTCGTCTGTCTGTTTGTGTGTGTCCCTCAGCCTCTCGATGTATTTCAGGGTGTGTGTGTGGGTCGAGAGCTTTCTCTCTCCCCACTCGCCTACCCCCCCCCCCCCAGTCGGAGATCACATTTTATTGGCTGAACTGGCTTTTGCCTACATACTCGAGTAATTACAGTGATGGGCAAGAATGATCCCTTTGTCTGTGGCAGATATGGGTTTGAATAACCGCACTGTGTTTTGAGCTGTCCATTAATTCAGTGATGAGCACAGGTCAAGGCACTGAGCCTGGGAAAAATAAACTGCATACTGATACCTCCAGCACTGATAGCCCTGAGACTGAGCCCCAGGGCGGGGGCTGGGTGGGGGGGGCTGGGTGGGTGGTGGAGACAGGCCCTCACTCCAGAACGCAAGTCTCTGCTGTCTTTTCTCTGCTGCTTTTTTGTTACAGAGAAACATTGAGAGAGTTCGTAATGAGCGTGACTTTTTGAGTCCCAGCCTAACTAAAGGCACATGTTCCTGGTTATCTGACACCTGGTTATCGAACATTGCATCCACTCACTCCACCTGGGAATTAGTGCAAAAGGGAAATAGTCTGTGTTCATGTCTTTTTGGGTGTCTGTGTGTGTCTCTCTCTCTTTGTCTCTGTGTGTGTGCATGTCTCTCTTTCTGTGCGTCTCTCTCTCTATATCTGAGTGTCTGTGTCTGAGAGAGAGACTGGAGTGCGCTGGGTTTCCTTGTGTGACAGATACCCGGCTGATCAAGGTGATGGGTTTCTGTGTGTGACACTTGGTTGACCAACAAAACCACCTGAAATGACTCGTTTTCGATTGGGGAAGGAAACCAAGTCAACTTTCAGATGTGTTCAATCTCTGTCCTTGAAAAGCCACCCCCTGGTATCGATCAACAGGCAGTGGCGTCCCGTAGCATAATGGCTTACGCGCTCGCCTCGCAAGCGAGAGGATCAGGGTTCGATTACCAGGCAGGGTAAAACCTTTAGGCAAGTTCGCTGTCTCCACACGCCTTCGTTTACCTAGCTGTAAAGTAGGAACCTGGTTCAATCCACGACATGTTTGTGGAACGCTGCTGTGTTTCGCCCACAAAATGCACAGTCACTCCACTTTAAAGTATAATCCTGTGAAGCGCTTTGAGCGTGATAAGGTGCTATAATCAAGGATTATTATTATTGTATTCATCGACAGGCATTGCTGGGGCATTTGCTTTTGCTCTGTGATGAAGCACTATGTTGCTTGGCACCATACAGAAGGACGGACAGACAGACAGACAGACAGAGAGAGAGAGAACGGATAGACAGGCAGACAGAATGGCTTGCCTGCCTGGGCTTGCCTGGGTGTGTGTGTGTGTGTGTGTGTGTTAATGTTTAAAAGACATGTTTTCCCACAGTTATCAGTGAGCAAAACAAACGTTTCATTCACACACATAATTGGGGTTAGTTCCAAGATTGGCTGTTTTGGTCACACCTTTTTCTCTTCCCCTGCCCCCTTTAATTCACTGCCTGAGCCCAGGCACACAAAGCACACGCAGACACTTGCTCACTGCAGGCTTGGTTCGTTCAGCTTTTTAGAGGCCGTCGTTAATTATTGACTTTTTTATTTGCAGTTTTTTTCCTATTAATTCCAAGACATAGAGTCCTGTAGCCCCAGTGGTTAGAGCACTCGCTTTGCAAGCGAGAGACCTGAGTTCAATTCCAGGCACAGGGCGAAACCTTGGACAAGTTTCCTTACTCCACACAGAGCCTAATAATAATCCCTCCAAAACAAAACAATAATAAATTGGTCGTTTTCAATCTACGACTGTTTATGGGACATTGCTGTGCGCAATTGGCTGCCACGTTCGCCCACAAATATACAGTCAATTCACTTTACAGTGTGTTCTGTGAAGCGCTTTGGGACGTCTTCCCGACGTGAAAAGCGCTGTATCAAATGCAAGGATTATTATTATTATAGATTGAGCAGCTTCACCTCAGCTGGTGGGGAAACCGGATTTTAATAATAATACATATCACGTCTTTAAGATATCGCAAAGCGCATCACAGAATATTACGTAAAGTGAGACTGAGCGTATATTATGTGGGCGAAACGCAGCAGCCAATTGCGCACAGCAGTGAACCACAAACAATCGGGGATTGAAGTGACCAAATTATTATTTCTTTAACAAAAAATTTGATTATTACATCCTGGAAAAGCGTTCTGACAATCGACTAAAAACTGAGTTCCTACTTACTGGTGGGTAAACAGAGGTGTGTGGGGAGTAAGGAAACTTGCCTAACATTTCGCCCTGGCCGGGAATCAAAGCCAAGTCCTCTCGCTTGCGAACTGAGTGCTGTAATACCACTTATATTTGAGGTTTAGTGTCGTACGTATTATAGTTAGAATCTTAATGGCTTTGGTAGGATTGTGTGAGTGCGAGTGACTTTGAGGCGTGTGCTTTTCCAGGGCGACTGTTCTCACCCTGTTTTTTTTGTTGTGCGGAGATGAAATTGTCCTTTTCTTCTGCTGAGCTGGGTAAGCAGTGTCTGTGGCTACCCGATACTGGTGGGACCAGTGAGGCTCTGGGTCAGAGGAAACTGTGAGATGGTGCTGAATCCCAGACAGTCAGTTTTTTTTTAATCCAAATCTGCTGCAGAAATTATATGTAAACTTTTTTGGGCGAGGGGGAGGCTGGGGGTTGTTTATATATTAAAAAAAACGATTGCATCATTATTGGCAGATTGCTTTTCCAGGGGTAATAATCCCTTCAAAAAACTAATAAATAATAACCGTAATAATTTAGTCACTCAATCCACGACTGTTTGTGGGACGCTGCTGTGCGCAATTGGCTGCCGGGTTAAGCCCACAAAATACAGTCACTCCAATTTACAGTATATTCCTGTGAAGCACTTTGATACGTTTTAACCGCGTGATAAGGCGCTATATCAAACGCAAAGATTATTATTCAAATATTTTTTTTTTAAAATTGTACATTTAAGTGAAACTCTTCCTTGTTTTTGATTATATATAAAATAATAATAATAATCCTTGAATTTGCACCTTATCATGTCGTCGAGATGTCTCAAAGCGCTTCACAGAATATGCTGTAAAGTAAATTGACTGTATATTTGTGGGCGAGACGCGGCAGCTCACAGAGCAACCTCCCACAAGCTGGCACGGACCGGCACGGTTATAATGATAACAAACCTTGCATTTGGTAAAGCACCTTATCATGTTGTTGAGACGTCTCAAGACACTTGGGGGATGGGAGGGGCAGTGTCGGTGGTTACGGTCGGTACTTGTGATTGTTGCCAGTTATTGTTATTTGGTTTTAACGCCTGTGTGTGCATGTGTGTCTTTTTGTCTTCCAGAGGTCCTACACTCTGATTGTGGAGGCCTGTGACTACAACAATAACTCCAGTAAGTCTCCCACCTGCTCCCATGTGGTCCTCTAATGTACAGTGTGACTAGCTGAACCATTTACCTCTTTGAACATGCTTTCGGCCATCTTTCCCCCCCCCCCACCCCTGCCCCCCACCCACCCCACCCCCGCAAACTCCCGCCCAGCCTGTTCAGGTGTGTGGCCAGCCAGCCAGCTGTGTCTTTGAGACGTCCTCCTGACATGACGGTGCTCTGGCATGCTACCCTGCGTGAAGGGCGCTATATTAATGCAGGTTGTTATTGAAGGTTACTGTGTCAGTGTAAAGTCCTACATTGTCATCGTTTGTGGAATATTTCTGCTGTGCACAAATTGGCTGCCACGTTTCACCCCCAATTACACAATCACTACACTTTACAATGAAGCACTTTGAAAGGTGCTGATGCAAAAGGCGCTGTACGGAATGTATGGATTATTATATTTATTTATTATTATGAACCTAAAGAGATGGTGCGGGTTCCTTGCTCCTTCCTCCTCGGCACTTTATTCTGAAGCCTGGCTCTTGCCTGGGAAAATTGACGTGTGGAAGGGAAGGAGAGAAGGGAGGATCTTTACTTGACTCTGAAAATGTTGTTTTGCACTTACTGGGTGTGAGCAGGTGTTGGGGGCTGGGCCGGTGTGGGGGGCAGGTGGGTAAAAATGTTAGCAATCATCATAGGATCAGATGGTTGTTTGCCGTCTGACTTTTCCATTTCTCCTCATGGCCAGCACACCCATTCAGACCCTGTAACATAGTGGTTAGAGCGCTCGCAAGAGAGGGCAAGGGTTCAATTCCCAGCCAGGGAGAAACCTTCGGCAAACTTCCTTTCTCCACACGCCTCTGTTTACCTAGCAGTAAGTAGGAACCCGGTTGTTAGTCGTTTGGCAAATCATTTTCCAGGAGTAAAAATCCCTCCCCTGAAAAATAATAATAATAATGTGGTCACTCAATCCATAACCATTTGTGGGACACTGCTGTGCGCAATTGTCTGCCCGATTTTGCCCATAAAATACACAGTCACTCCACTTAAAGAAACAATGGAGATCAAGCAGGAATCTGATGTCCATCAAAGAGAAACAGAAAGCAGCTCAGACCTCATCAACAAAAATGGCAGCTGGAATGACATTTATCCTTCAAAAGTAAATGATATCCCGCAGGAAAACCGATTGGGAGCAGGAAATCCTGCCTGGTCAGTTTCCCAGAAAAATGAAGGAACAAAGCCTGGGGAGGAACCAAAGCTACAGCTGGTGGCTGAAGAGGATTGAAAGGCGACACATCATCAAGCTCTCATCATCTCAGCACAAGACCAAGCTATTACTGCCTGTTATTATGAGAATAAGATCTTCAAGAGAAACATTGATGTGAAATGCTGAAATTGACCAACAGAAACAGGAGACCAACCACATATTGTCCTCATGTCCGGCCCCAGCATAGTCAGTCTCTGATCCCACATCATACTGGGCTAATTATTCCCTGGACAATCTCTAAATATTCTGATATTTGGTCTGGTCTGAATATTAGCCAGAAAAAGTCACTTCGAAAGGTGAGGTCACAAAATATCCTGGGGCTCACAGGTATCTACAGATAGAACAGTCATTGTAACGCTCTGGGCCTGTCATCTGTGTGAGGGACGCTATATAAATGCAAGCTGCAAATAACACAACGGATGTCAGCATCAAAACGCAACTCTTATTGTACGGGCATCATTGACTTGGCCATTCCAAGTGGTTACAACTCACAATATAAGGAACGAGAGAAGATCTACTGATCTACAAATTGAATGCAGACTCGCGGCAAAACACCTTAAGCATAGTTTTTCTAATCATCAGTGCAACTGGGACTGCTAATAACACGAATCAGCATTGACTTGACAAGCTACACCGTGCACCAAATCTCCACCTCCTGCCGAAAGTTATTTTGGGAAGTTCAAGTATGCTAAGAAAAGTGAAGTCCATTTAAGGATTAATATTATTATTATCGTCGTAAAGTGTAGTGACTGTATTTTTGTGGGTGAACGCAGCAGCTAATTTGCAATGCCCAACAAACAGCCATGGAATGAGTGGCCGACTGGATCTGGAGGATTGTTGACCAGGACATCAACCGAGAGAGAGAAACTCCTTTTTCTTTTCCAATAGCGCCGCAGGATCTTTAACCTGAACTTGAACAGGCAGGTGGGACCTCAGTTTAACATCTAGCTGAAGGATGACGATAAGAAACCCACGGCATTATTCAAGACAAGAGTTTATTACAAATTTATTACAAATGCAATGTTGCTGTTATAAATGACTGGAATTCAGAAGATTAAGGGGTGATCGAATTGAGGTGTTTAAAATGATAACTGGTAGATACAGAGAAACTATTTCCTCTGGTGGGGGAATCCAGAACAAGGGGGGCATTTTTTTCTCTCTCTGATCTGTGCCTCTCACACTCTGGCTCGGTTGGTGCTAGAACTGACCTGAGAGGCTGCAATCTGGGTTAGGTAACCGTGAGCTTGCGGTGTGAGCGGCTTTTGACTGTTTTCTGATAAAATCTTCACTACGTCGCCAAGTGCTGCCGTGGTGGTGGAGGGGGGTTGCGGGGCTGGAGGAGGGGTGGGTGGGGGGAGAGAGAGAGTGGGGAGCAAGGACTCCGTCTAGGGCTGTGAAATTCCACGGGCGTCTAGCCTAGCATGTCGCGAGCGGCTGTGAATTATGATATTTCCACGGGATAATTGAAACAGATGGTGTGTGTGTCTGTGTGGGGGGGTGGGGTGCGTTGTGGGGGTGTGTGGTGAGGGGTTGCGTGGGGGGCTGTGCGGGGTGGGTGTGAGGTAGGGCTATGTGTGGTAGGTGGGTCTGTGTGGGAGATGTGTGTGCATGTGGTAGGGAGGTGGGGCTGTGTGCTTGTGGTGGGGGAGGTGGGGCTGCGTGTGGGGGATGTGTGTGCATGTGGTGTGGTTGGGGGTGTTTGGGGGTCTGGGTGTGGGGAGGGGGCTGTGTGTAGTCTTGCACAGATCTGGCTGGTCATGGCTGGCTGTGCAAGGTGAGATTTTTTTTAAAAGTAAAAGTATTTCCTCCTTGATCTTGACTTTCCTTCCCCCCGACCCCAGCTGCAGAACCCCCCCCCAACCCCAAGTGCAGACCGACCTCCCCCCCCCCCCACCCCAACCTTAGCTGCAAACTCCCCCGACCCGCCTCAACCTTAGCTGTAGACCCCCCTTCCCTGACCCCCCCCCTCCACTCAGCGCAGCTCGATTGAGGGTGAGATTACTTGATCTCTGCGGAATGTCAGATGTCGTGTGTGGAGTGAGCTTCTCCCCCCCCTCCCCTCACACACACGCACACACAGCGGCAACAGCTGCTCACAGGCCTGAGAGGGGCTATCAGTGACTGAGTGTCAGCCCCGCACTATGGCCCACTGTGTGTGTGCGTGTGGTGTGTGTGTGTGACTGCCCAGCGCTGCATGTGAGCTATATAATGTAACTTAAGTAATAATAATAATCCTTGCATTTGATATAGCGCCTCATCACATCTTCAAGACGTCACAAAGCGCTTCACAGAATATACTGTAGAGTGATATGGACTGTAAATTTTGTTGAGCGAACGCGGCAGTCAATTGCGCACGGCAGTGACCCACAAACAGTTGTGAATTGAAGTGACCAATTTATTATTATTTTTTTGAGAAGGATTTATTAACCCCAAAAAAGTGATCCGCCAATCGACTATCGACCGGGTTCCTATTTACTGCTGGGTAAAACAGAGGCGTGTGGAGTAAGGAAGCTTGCCCATCGTTTCCTCCTACCCAGGAATCAATCCCAGGTCCTCTCGCTTGCGAGTCGAGCGCTCTAACCACTGAGCTACAGGACTCAAATGTGTCTCATTAGTCACGTGTTTCCAATAAATGTGTCTGATTGCTTCCTGAAAACCTGCTATAATAATTCTTGCATTGGGTTAAGCGCTTCACAGAATGTGTTGTGAAGTATAGTGACTGTTTTGTGGGAGAAACTTGGCAGCTGGTTAGTCAACAGTGACATCCCACAAGTGGCCATGATGGGGTACAGACGGGACCTCGGTTTAACATCGTATCTGAAGGATGCAACCTGCTCCCTCCCCTCCCCCCTCCAGCACTGTATTAGGGTATTGACCAGACTGTAATGGCTGAAACACCCGTCGAGCGCGACATCTCAACATAATAAGACACTACATCAATTGTAAGGATTGTTATTATTGTTACTGCTAAGTAAACAGAGATACAGAGAGTGCAGTGCTAACTGGTGAGAGTGTGAACCACTACATTACAGGTCTTTCTACATTTCCCTGTTCTTTTTGCCCCAGACCCTGGAGATACCATTGAGAAGGCTGTCTATTCAGGAATGATCAACCCCAGTCAGCAGTGGCAGACGCTCAGACACAACGGGGCAGTGGCCCACTTCGAGTACCAGATCCGAGTGACCTGCGACGAGTACTATTTTGGGTTTGGATGTAACAAGTTCTGCCGCCCCCGAGATGACTTCTTTGGACATTATACGTGCGACCTGAACGGAAACAAGACCTGCCTGGAGGGCTGGATGGGAGGCGACTGCAACAAAGGTTAAAACTTTCTCCCTTCTCACTGAATCCCTGAAAGCAGATACAACAACCCATTGAACTGCTCTGGACAGTGTTGGAGTTGACCTCAGATTTTGGCTGTGAACGGTGACTGAGATGACCTCAGGGTTTGTGGACGATGGCTGAAGTTGACCTCAGGGTTGGGCTGTGGATCTTTCGCTCCAGTTGGCAGTGGGAAGGAGGAGCAATCAATCTGTCTTGTTGGACAGTTTCCCAGGAGTGTAGAGTGATGTGCCTTTCAGCACTTGAACCTCGAATGGTTCCCAGCGACGGTCATGTCCAACCCATTCCCTCTTCTTTGATATCCAGCTCACACCCTGGCTTTATTACACATTGTGCTTTTCAAATGTAGACTTGCCCCTGACCAGCATCTCTTTGTGGGTTGTAGCGTGACAGAGCACTGAGGGTGTGTGTAGAGTGACTGAGCCCTGAGGGTGTGTGTAGAGTGACAGCCCTGAGGGTGTGTGTAGAGTGACTGAGCCCTGAGGGTGTGTGTAGAGTGACTGAGCCCTGAGGGTGTGTGTAGAGTGACTGAGCCCTGAGGGTGTGTGTAGAGTGACTGAGCCCTGAGGGTGTGTGTAGAGTGACTCAGCCCTGAGGGTGTGTGTAGAGTGACTCAGCCCTGAGGGTGTGTGTAGAGTGACTCAGCCCTGAGGGTGTGTAGTAACAGTGTGAGTGACAAGGCTGACTGCCCTGACTGTGTTGGGACAGTGTCTGGGGTGTGATGAGGGGAGGGGGCCGGGATTAGTGTTGAATAATGAGGCTGGTCTGGCCCACCCTAACCGTGTTTCTCCCCGTTTTTGCAGCTATCTGTCGCCAGGGCTGCAGTCCTGAACACGGCTCCTGTAAATATCCTGGGGAGTGCAGGTAAACTGCTCGCATGCTGAGCTTACACAATCCTTTGTTGAGATTGCGCTGAATTATATGTTGAAGTTGCCCTGAATCCTGTGTTGAGATTACTCTGTACTGCACTGAATCCTGTGCTAAGATTACGCTGTGCTGGATTGAATTCTGTGTTGAGATTACGCTGTACTGCACTGAATCCTGTGTTGATTGTGCTGTGTTGAGATTACGTTGTACTAAATCCTATGTTGAGATGGAATTCCTTGTTGACATTGTGCTGCACTGAATCTTGTGTTGATATTGTGTCTCAGAACACATGCCTGGTTCTCCGTGGGAAGAGCTTCATAGAATATGCTGTAAACTGAAAAGGTAGTGGTGCTTGGCTGGCGGCAGGGAAGATCACTTTAGGCAGACAGTGGTGACTGGCACCAAGGAGATGGCAGTGCCCAGGGCAGCAGGAGTCAGTGCGGAATTGGATGTAATTGGGAGATTCTTCGGGTTTGAAAGGAATGGGATGTTGTTGATTTGGGGTGTAAGCCCCAGATTTTTCCATATGTCCTCACCTTCTCGTAGTAATAATAATAATAATCCTTGCATTTGATATAGTGCCTTATCATTGTTGAGGTGTCTCAAAGAGCTTCATGGAATATACTGTAAAGTGAATTGACTGTTTTGTGGGCGAAACGTGGCAACCAATTGTGGCTTGAGAGGGAAAATTATTATTCTAATGTTTTAAAAAAATATTTGAGGGATTATTACTCCCAGAAAAGCAATCTGCCAGTCGACTAACAATCGGGTTCCTACTTATTGTGGGTGAAGTAAGAAACTTTGCCTAAGATTTCGCCCTGCCTGGGAATCAAATCCAGATCCGCTCGCTTGCGAGGCGAGTGCTATCTTAACCAATATTCTACAGCACTCCACTGTAACTTGGGCTGAGCTCAGTCGATCAAACCCTCGCTTCTGAGTCGGAAGATTGTCAGTTCAAGCCTCACATCAGGACTTAGAATCACACAGTCTAGGCTAATGCTCCAGTACACTCACTTTGTGGCCGGTTGTGGGATGCTGCTGTGCGCAATTGGCTGCCATGTTTTGTCCACAAAATACATTTACTTTACAGTGAATCCAGACGTCTTGATGACATGATAAGGCCTATCAGATTATTAGAATTATTATTATTTACTATTATTAAATAAACCCCCACATTATCATCTCCCAATCTTCAAAGCAGTCTGCCAAAATATCCGTCACTCGCACATTCTCTCTCTCTCGCTATCTTGGCTGCTCTCAGCTGAGGTTTAACAGCTGTAAAGGAATCTTGTCAACAGTCGCTGATGATTGCAAAATTCTAACACTGTGCATCACTTTCCCTCTCACATACTTACTTACCGTACACCAAAGGGAAGCCCATACAAACTAGCGGAGAGGCTTTCGATGTAGCTTTGCTGTAATATCTCAGGTACACTGTGACTGCAGAATGTTTAACTATTCCCTTTTCTTTCCATACCTCAAACTTCACATATACTTTCCAGTTAAAGGTTGGAATAGCAATCAGAGTTGTGTAGCTCAGTGGTTAGAACGCTCGTCTCGCAAGCGAGAGGACCTGGATTCAAATCCCTGGCAGGGCGAACAAAACATTAGACAAGTTTCCTTTCTCCACGTTCACGCCTCTGCTTACCTAGCAGTAAGTGGGAACCTAGTTGTTAGTTGATTAGGGCAATCCTGAAGAGTTATGAGACATCCTCCTGATGTGAAGGTGTTCTATCAAAAGTAAGATTGTTATTGCTGAATAACTGGCTTGTCAAGGTAGGACCACCCAAGCCGTTAGGCCTTTGGCTTGCAGGGTTAATAGGAACTGAGTGGGAGGATTCCCTGCCCCTAGTGACTGGTCTGCCCTTCTAGATCCTGCCGATGGGCTGTGCTGTCATCAGCAGTGTCATGAATACTGCAGACCCACCTGTTCTTAATAATACAATACTTGCATTTGATGTTGGGCCTTTTGCGGAGCACAGAGAGCAAGTACTCCGTTGCATATTGTTATGCTAGGGCATGGTGGAGGAGGGGTGGTAGGGGCTGGATGTGTAATGGGAGTTTATATTGCTTACAGCAATGTGAAGCATCATTTTTCTCCCAAGTAAATGAGGCTGTGACACGATTGGAGGGTCCCTGGCATGCCCATTGCTCGGGGTGAGATTTGGCTGATAAGCAGGCGTTTAATTTAGCAGGTTTAAAGCTTCAATCCAATCCTTGTTGTACAAAAAGAGTTGCTAATTGATTTGCCTTCCAGAGGAGATCAATTTGGATCAGTGTCCCTTGGGGGATGGTGGGGGGTGGATACAGATGTTTGCGATGTCTATCACTGGAGGCTAACCCGTCTCGTGCTGACATTAGACCCATGGAGTCCTGTAGCTTAGAGGTTACAGCACTCGCAAGCGAGAGGACCCGGGTTCGATTCCCAGGCAGGGTAAAACCTTGGGCGGATTTACTTACTCCACGCAATATAGCAACGTCCGCTGTGTCAATCCACTTTACGGTATATTCTGTGAAGCACTTTGCGATGTGATAAACCGCTGTATCAAATGCAAGTATTATTACTATTATTATTATTATAACCAGCTGCCTTGCTGGGGTGGGTTCAGTCTAAACCAGTAAAACAAGTTTGGCTCCACCACTGGGCTGGCCAGCCCTGCCTGCCTGCCGTTCTCTATCTCACCTCCCACTCGCTGTTAGGGCACGCACTGCTGAGTATTTACTTAAGTTACAACTTTCCCACAGTTGATTTGCATTTGCTGGGCAACAGCACAGCCTTTTGTGTGTGTGCGTCTGTGTTTTTTAAATGGGTTTTGATCCCTTCTCCTGACTTGAAAGGTGCTATCAAATGTAATTTTGTTGTTGTTCTCCCTCCCCCTCTACATTCCCTCCCATCATTTTGGAAAGCACATTACCTCACGTGAAGGGCGCTAAACAAACACAAGTCATCGGTGTTATTGTTCATCGTCTTGTGTTTTATCCAGCGCCTTTCACGTCGGGAGGAAGTCTCAAAGCGCTTCCCAGGATTGACTGTGAGGTGTAGTGACCGTGTATTGTAGGCGAACGCAGCAGCCAATTTGCGCACTGCAAAGTCCCGCTAACTGATTGTTGGCCAGGACACTGGGAGAGAGAAACTTCTTTCTCTTTGCCAGCAGTGCCGTGGGATGTTTAACGTCCACCTGAACAGGCACAGCCAGGACCTCGGTTTAACATCTCATCGGAAGGACGGCACCTCTGACAGTACAGCACTCCCCCCAGCACTGCACTGGAGAGTCTGGAATGTGAGCTCAAAGTCCCTGACATGGGGCTTGAACCCACTACCTTCTGACTCAGGAGGCCGGTTTGGGAGTGTGAGTGACTATGACATCTGTTTTGTATTAATAACTAGCTGACCTGCAGTTGGCTTTTGGGCAGGATGAAGGGATTGGGAAATAATTCCTGCTTTCACATTGCATATATCTTTTGGGGAGTGTTTTGTGCAGAGCTTCACTTTTGACTTTGATGGTGATGCCACGTGTTTCTTTATATATGAATATCTGCTGTATGTGAAGTTGGCTTCTCAGAATGCTTTCTGTCTCCTAATATTGCTGGGAAAACGACCCTCTTCTTAAGACTGTAGCTCAGTGGTTAAGGCACTCGCTTCGCAAGCAAGAGGACCTGGGTTCAATTCCTAGGCAGAGCTAAACGTTTCCTTACTCCATACGCCTCTGTTCACCTACAATAACAAAATTATATTTGGAAAGCGCCTTTCATGTTGGGGAGGACGGTCCAAGGCACTGAACAGTTGGGGATCAGTACCCGAGCGGGCAGGGTTGGGATGAGGGAGGGCGGCTGAAAACACGGTTAAAGGAGGGTCTTGAGTTGTGCTTGAAGTGCGAGGGCACTGGCGCGAGCCATTCAGGAAGGCCTCGGTCTTCCTGACAGTCAGCTGTAGAAAGTTGGCTCTCATCCAGGACTTGATGTCAGACAGACAGTCTGTCAGGATGTCAGTTGTCCTGGAATCAAGGGTGGAGGCAGAGAGATAGTGTTGGGTGTCATCCGCGAGCATGTGGAAGTTGACCCTATGTCTGTGTATGATGTCACCAAGGGGGAGCATGTAGAGGTTGAAGAGGTGGGGACCGAGGACAGAGCCCTGAGGGACACCGCACAACAGTCTGTTCCTCTAGGAAGTGACTAGGAGGTTCCCAATTACCTAGCAGAATTAGAAACCCGGTCGTTAGTCAATTGGCGGATCGCTTTTCCGGGTGTAATAATTCCTTCAAAAGAAAAATGAATTTAAAAAAATAATTTGGTCACTCAATCCACACCTGTTCGTGGGACACAGCTGTGCACGAGTGGCTGCCGTGTTTTGCCCGCAAAATATACAGTCAATTCACTTTACAGTACAGCCCAGTGAAGCTCTTTGAGACGTGTTAAGGGATTATATCAAATGCAAGGATTATTAATAATTAAAGCATGTATTGGTGTCTCCTAGTATCGTGGGTATGTGTTTAGGACAGACACTGCTGCCATCACTGAACTGTGTAAAACCCCCAGTGGGAGATCAGACAGGAATTTCTGATGAGAAAACCTGCTGTGGGTATGAAAGTGGCCAGATAACAGATTAATACCTAAAGCCCTTGTTTTCTTTTAGAAAATACATTTCCTTTTTTCCAACTTTATTTTCCCTGTGTAGGCTTCATTTCAGTTGAGAAACAGTTTGTTTTATTTTTGTTCTTTCTTTTTTATCCTCTTTTTCTCTATCTCTCTCCCCCTTTTTATGCAGACCACACCATCACTCCCCATCTCCCTCTGCCTACCCCCACTATCTGACACTCTACGTACAACTCTCTGCCCCGCCCCCTCCCTCTCCAATTTCAAATCCCATCTAATAAGATACCCGTTTGACCTATCTATCTTTCGGCTTCTCTTTATACATATATACACACACACACATACACACACGGTCAGCTCTGAGTATTTTTTTGCTCAGCCGTGTGTCTTGACACAGGCAGAAATTCATCCCCGTGCAAACCAAGCTGAGAATTCCCACCTACACCTGGAAATCCCAGAGAGAGATTGTTGGAATGGAATATGCACTCTCTCACTGGAGGGACACATCCTGTTTACCTAATTCCGGAGAGTATTAGGTGCAGGTTGGTGGGAGCCAACTCTTGGGGATCCCAGAGTGTGCGTTGGGGTAACTGCTGGAGTCTAACCAGTTAAACCTCACAGCTTGCCATTGACATTCCTGTCTGGCAAGCTTTCCCGTCCTTTTCAAGTGGATGTTAAACATCCTGTGGCACTCATAATAATAATAATCCTTACATTTGACATAGAGCTTTAACACGTGTTCGAGACGTCTCAAAGCGCTTAACAGGATATACTGTAAATTGAATTGAGTATAGTTTGTGGGCGAAACATGGCATAGGGAAGGGAATTTCTCTTTCCCAGTGTCCTGGCCAACAATTTACTAGATAAAATCAATCACTCACTTCATGGCTGTTTGTGGGACATTGCTGTGCGCAAATTGGCTGCTCACAAAACACACACTTTACAGTAAATCCTGTGAAGCACTTTGAGGCATCTTGAGAGTTTGAAAGTTGCTGTAGCAAATGGGAGGATTAGCATCATTAACTGCTTAAGAAGAATTCTGTTCTGCCCATATAATAATTATTATAAGTCCTGGAGTCCTGTAGCTTGGTGGTTAGGGCACTCGCCTCGCAAGCGAGATGACCAAGGTTTGATTCCCAGGCAGGGCGAATCGTTGGGCAAGTTTCCTTACACCACGCGCTTCTGTTTACCTCGCAGTAAGTAAGGAACCTGGTTGTTAGTTGATTGGCTTTTCCGGGGATAATCATTGCTTGAAAAAAATAATAATTTGGTCATTCAATCCACAACTGTTTGTGAGACACTGCTGTGCACAATTGGTTGACAAATTTTGCCCACAAGACACACAGTCAATTCACTGTACAGTATATCCTGTGAAGCGCTTTGAGACGTCTCAAAAGATGTGATTAGGTACTATATCAAATGCAAGGATTAGTATTTATTAACGCTGCAGAGCTGTTTGCAGGGGGGCCTTTGGCAGTAAATTTGACTGAATGTATTTTGTTCCAGCCTCTCCTGGTTGTGTGAGCTGTAATTAGCCACGTAATTAGCTACAGGGTGGTTTCTCTGTAATATGGAAAACTTGGTGATGTTTGTACATCAATTTATGGAGATAATTTTTTCGTTGTTGTCCTGGGGAAATGACTCTCCAGACGAAACGTAGTTGTTCCCATGGTGCTCTCTTTTTTTTGGCGAGAGAGGGAGTCCTCCTGATGTGAAAGGTGCTTTACAAATGTAATTTTGTTGTTGTTAAGACCTCTATAAAACTTCACCCACTGTCTACACCATCTGTATCTCTAACACCTTCAACTTTCCACACATTACTTGAAAACTTTCTCTCCTTTTCTCTCCCTCTCCCCGTCCCCCCATCCCTCTCGCTTCCCCTCTCCCCACCCCACCGTTCCCCCTTTCTACCTCTCGCCCCCCCCCCCCCCCCCTCTCTCATTCACATCTCCTTTACGCTGGGAACCTACATGAGGGAATGGCACAGAGAACGAGGGGCGGAGAAACACTTATAAATGAGAGACAGCTAACAAAACACAGCCAGGGGCTGTAACCTCTGGAGTTGGACAGGTCAGAGTTAAATATAAACTGTTTCCCTGCCTCCAAATCCCTGCTTACAGGAAGCGACGAAGGTTTACAACAACAACATCTTGTGTTTATATTGCATCCCCTCAAGAAGGATACAGTCCAGGCTGACACTCCAGTTCGGTGCTGGGGATCAGGGAGAGAGCACTGCATTGTCAGAGGTGCCGTCCTTCGGGTTAAACCGAGGTCCCGTGGGATGTTAAAGATCCCGCGGCACTTATTGGAAAAGAGAAGGGAGTTTCTCTCTCCCTCCTGGTGTCTTGGCCGACAGTCCCGCTGATACGATTGGTCACTCACTCCATTTTTTGTTGTAGGACGTCGTTTTGTACAAATTGGCTGCCACATACGCTTACAAACCCTCGATAACTACACTTTACAGTGAATCCTGTGAAGCGCTGTGAGACGTCCTCCCGATGTGAAAGGCGCTGGAGCAGATGCATGAATTATTGGGATTAATAATCTTTGCGTTTGATGTGGCCCTTTCTCACATTTTCACGACATCTCTAAGCGCTTCACAGAATATACTGCAAAGCGAAGCTACTGTGTATTTTGTAGGCAAAACGCAGCAGCTAATCGAGCGCAGCAGTGACCCACAAAACTGGTGGATTGAGTGACCACATTTTTTATTTGATTGATTGCTGTTGCTTTTCTGTGCGCTCTTGTGTTGTGATGTGACGTGAGCTGCAGTGGGATGCCTTGTGTTGCAGGTGTCAGTATGGTTGGAAGGGGCAGTACTGTGACAAGTGTACCCCTCACCCTGGCTGTGTGCACGGCACCTGTGTGGAGCCCTGGCAGTGTCGTTGTGAAACCAACTGGGGCGGTCAGCTGTGTGACAAAGGTAAGCAGGGAACCCGGGAAGCGCTTTGGGACGTCTCAATGGCGTGATAAGGCGCTGTGCAAATACATGGATTATTATTATTGATTATGATTATTATTATTGTGATATTATTTTGATTACGATGATTATTGATGATTATCGTTGATTATTGATGATGATGATGATTATTATTATTGCTTCCTCAGATCTGAACTACTGTGGGACACGACTGCCCTGTTTGAACGGGGGAACGTGCAGCAACACTGGGCCAGACAAATATCAGTGCACCTGCCCCGACGGCTATTCTGGGAAAAACTGTGAGATTGGTGAGTGCTCGCAGCCTGGTGTGGGAGGCCCTGCCTTGTGTCGCCTTCCTGCCCGCCCACCGCCTGATTACATTTCCTGAGTCAACTGTCGGCTGCGCCTTTGGAAAATGTGTCAGCCTGGCTCATCAGTGGGAGCGCTCTCATCTCCGAGTCGGATGGTTGTGGGTTGAAGCCCCACGTCGGGACTTGGAATCACAGAGTCTAAGCTGATGCTCCAGTGCAGTGCCGGGGGGGAGCACTGCACTGTCAGAGGCTCCGTCCTTTGGATGGGATGTTAAATAGAGCTCCCGTCTTGTCTGTTCAGGTGGATGTTAAAGATCCTGCGATGCTGCCGGCGTCCTGACCAACAATCCACCAGATACAATTGTTCGCTCACTCCATGATTATTTGTGTGGCATTGCTGTGTACAACGGCTGCTGATTTTGACCACAAAATACACAATATCTCCAGTGAATCCTTTGAAGCATTTTGAGATGTTTCTCTCTCTCTCTTTTCCCCCTCCCGCCCATTTCAAGACGTGGAGACAGAGTGTGCATTGGGGTAACTGTTGGAGTCTAACCAGCTAAAACCACATAGCTCGCCATGTTTGGCAAACTTTCCTGCTGCTTGTCCAGCGAGGACCACTCTCGCCGTTAAGAGTTTGGGTTTGCAGGGTTAACAGGAGCTGAATGGGAAGATTCCCTGCCCCCAGCGATTGGTCGGCCCTTCCAGGTCCTATCAATGGGCTGTGCTGGACCGTCATCAGTCTCAGGACACCAAAGTGTCTTATTAATGGGTTGACAGAGGAAACTATCAATATAATTAGGATGTTGTCCAATACATTGTCCTGTGTTTGACTTGCAGCCGAGCATGCGTGTATCTCTGACCCCTGCTATAACAGAGGAAGCTGTTCGGAAACCCCAATGGGGTTTAAATGTCTGTGCGTCTCTGGGTGGGCCGGCCCAACCTGCACCATTGGTGAGTAATCAACCAATCATTAGCCCCCACCGTTGGCACGTTAACCAATCACCAGCCTCCACTGTTGGCGCGTTAACCAGTCACCAGCCTCCACCGTTGGCGCGTTAACCAGTCACCAGCCTCCACTGTTGGCGCGTTAACCAGTCACCAGCCTCCACCGTTGGCCGCGTTAACCAATCTCTGAGCTCTCAGTCTAGGCCAGTGATGACCAACCATTCACACGTAGCTCAATCCGCTCGGAGCCGCCGCTAATTCTAATTCCATCCAATGGGGACAGCAGTGGGAGGCAGGTGGATGCCGGGCGAACGTCTGTTAACCTCGGACGCCACTTAAGCTGGACAAAGCACCCGGCCCACATGCATCCAGCTTAACCGGCTTCCACTGTATCTGGAAGTCGGGCAGATTGGCTTTAGGCGTCGCAAGCTTAAAGCACATGAGAGGAGACATGGATTCTATATGAGGGGCGCTGTATAAATGCAAGTTGTTGTTGCTGCTGTGTTTGATATGGTGTGTGTGTGTGCGTGTGTTTGTGTGCAGATATTGATGAGTGCGAGGCTGACCCGTGTGCCCATGGGGGCACTTGCCAGGACATGGTGGATGGCTTCAAATGCATTTGCCCCCAGCAGTGGACAGGCAAAACATGCCAACTGGGTAACTACCCTTTAACCTAACTTCCCCCGGGTTTGTGACAGGAAAAACAGAGACGCTCCCGTTAATTAACTTTGTGTCTGACTAAATTGCTCTTTGTGAGATGTTGAGTTGGGAGTTTTTTTTGGGCGGTGAGGGTTTGAGAGGAGACTTTAAACCCGTCTATGCCTGTTCAGGTGGACTTTAAAGGTCCCATGTCGCTGTTGGGAAAAAAGAGACAGGAGTTTCTCTCTCTCTACCCTGGTGTCCTGGCCGACAATCTCCCAAGTAAGATTGGTCACTCACTTCACGGCTGTTTGTAGGACATCGCTGTGTGCAAATTGTCTGCTGAATTTACCCATAAAATACAGTCATTACAATTCACAATAATCCTGTGAAACACTTTGAGACTTCTCCAACCCCCCCCAATGTGATCGAATGAAAGCGTTATTAGCCGTGTGTTTAGCTGTTAATAATAATTGTTGCATTTAATACAGTCGTCAAGGTGTCTCAAAGTGCTTCACAGGATTTTACTGTGAAGTGAATGTGTATTTTGTGGGCAAATACAGCAGCCAATTTGCACACAGTGACATCCCCATAAACAGCCATGACTTTTTTTCTGGAGGATTGTCGGCCAGGACACCGAGAGAGAAACTCCCTTCTCTTTTTGAGTGGCACCGCAGGAGATCTTTTAACGCCCACCTTATTAATAAAGAGTGGTGGGGTGTAAACGTAGGGATAATAATAATCCTTGCATTTGATATAGCGCCTTATCACATCTTCTACACGTCTCAAAGCGCTTCACAGAATATACTTAGTGGGATAATTATTAAACAACGTTGTTGTAGTGAATAATAGTAAGTTTATTTTCCTCTAATCCTGGAATGTGTTGCCCCCTCTCGCAGATGCCAACGAGTGTGAGGGGAAGCCGTGTGCTAACGCCAATGCCTGCCACAACCTGATCGGGGGCTATTACTGCGACTGTATGCCGGGCTGGGCCGGCCAGGACTGTGACCTGCGTGAGTACCCACTTCCTCTGGCCAACCCCACAACCCTCACCCCCCACCCCCTCCACCGCACAACCCCAAACCCGATCCTTTTTGCACAACAAAGGATTTGGATCTCTCCATTCTGTTGTGTCAGCCTGGCTCAGTGGTAGCTCTCTCTCACCTCGGACTTGTAATCGTATAGTCTAAGCTGACGCTCCAGTGCAGTGCTGGGGGTGTGTTACATTGTCGGAAGTGCCATCCTTCGGATGAGATGTTAAACCGAGGTCCTGTCTTCCTGTCCAGATGGACGTTAAAGATCCCATTGGCATTATTGGAAAAGAGAAGGGAGTTTTTCTCTCTCTCTCCGGGTGTCATGGCCAACAATCCTCCAAATAAAATTGGTTATTCACTCCACGGCTGTAAGTGGGAAATTGCTGTGTGCAACTAGCTGCCACGTTTCGCCCACAAAATACAGTCAATCCACTTTACCGTAGGACCTGGAAGCACTTTGAGAAGTTTTAGTGACATAAGGCACTACACCAATTGCAACGATTATTCTTACAACTGATGACAGTGGGGAGAGAATAGCCTTGTGAAGCTCAGCCTTAAGCAGCGCAAATCAAACACTTTGTAATGTAAAAGAGGCAACAACTTTCAATCACACAGCGTCGTGTCTCTTGAGCGCTAGGAGCTGTGTTTTTAGTGACTGTACAAGCGTTCTGAGATGCTACGCTATGTCGGGAGCACTATATACCTGCGAGGAGGAGTTGTTGTATTGGGGTGGGGAGGAGGGGCTGGGGGTTAGCCTGGGTTGCTCTGAAGGAAAGCAGTGAAACCGCGGCTGATTACCGTGTGGGCGAGACTCCACGGACCTGATTGTGGTGATGTGCAAGAGTCTGACGCACCTGGTTTTATTACAGACATCGACGATTGTCACGGACAATGCCAGAACGGGGGAACATGCAAGGTATTGTGTCTCTCTCTGGGTGTCTCTCTCTCTCTCTGGCTGGTTTCCTCTCTGGCTCTGGCTCTCTGGGCTGTCTCTTTCTCTGGGCTGTCTCTTTCTCTGGGCTGTCTCTCTCTCTGGGCTGTCTCTCTCTCTGGGCTGTCTCTCTCTCTGGGCTGTCTCTCTCTCTGGGCTGTCTCTCTCTCTGGGCTGTCTCTCTATCAGCTGGATACCTTTAGTTTCGGATGAAGTCCTGACTGTCTGCCTGTCTGCTTTGTTTGTCAGGATTTGGTGAACAGTTACCGCTGTGCGTGTGCCCCTGGTTTTGTGGGGCAGCACTGTGAGCGAGCGGTCAGTGGATGTGCCAGCAAGCCCTGCCTGAACGGTGGGCAGTGCCAGGAGACCCTCACCGGGGTCCAGTGCCTGTGTCCAGCCGGATTCTCCGGGAACCTGTGTCAGGTGAGCGGAGGTCTTGCCCTTCTACCAGATAAACCAGCTTCTACAGAGGAGCGTGGTCAATGTCCAGCATGGGCATTACCCACCTCCGTTTGTACCTCGCAATCAACACAGCTCAAACCCTCGTCCACGCCTTCGTCACTTCCCAGTTGGACTATTCCGATCCCCTCTCTGCTGTTCTCCCCACCACCACCATACACAAAACCCGATCAATCCAGAACTCCGCCTTTCAGATACTCACCCGCACAAAACTTTGTACCTCCATCACACCAGTCTTTGTCAGGCACCACTGTTCTCCCAATCGCCAAGCTGTTCGATTTCAAGATCCTCTCACTCATTTTCAAACCCTTCATAGAGGTGGTAAATAGGATTGAAAAAGTAAACCCAGATCATTACTTTCGGATGCACCGAGACAGTAGGACAAGAGGACACAGGGTTAGAGCTGTAAAGGGGCAATTTCAGGACAGACACCAGGAAGTGATTCTTTACCCAGAGGGTAATTAACAACTGGAACAGGTTACCAGGAAGGGGGATTGAGGCCAGGACACTGGGACTCGTTTAAAAAGCAGCTGGATGCTGTGATGGGGGGACGGTAGGGTGGGTGTTCTGGAGGGAGGAGGTCAGATGAGCCGAAGGGTCTTCTTCATCCGAACCCATCTTGTGAAAGCTCTGGAGTTCACCGTGTTGTAGGTGGGAGAATTCCGTGTCTAAGTGTATTGCATTTTTCCCCTGTTCCAGCTGGACATCGATTACTGTCAGCCAAACCCGTGTGGCAATGGGGCCGCCTGCTTTAACCTGGCCGCCGACTATTTCTGCCGCTGCCCGGAGGATTATGAAGGGAAGAACTGTTCCCACCTAAAGGATCATTGCCAGACGACGCCTTGTCAAGGTGATTGTTTCTTCACTTTCTTTATTCACGTTCTAGTTTGGTCTGACACACACGGAAACCCATCACTGACCAGCTGGGTGTCTGACACACACGGAAACCCATCACCGTGACCAGCCGGGTGTCTGACACACACGGAAACCCATCACCGTGATCAGCCGGGTGTCTGACACACACGGAAACCCATCACCGTGATCAGCCGGGTATCAGTGTGTTGTGGCTTCAGTTTAGTAATCTGAGTTGATTATGTCCAGTGTGTACGGTGTCTGAGTTGAGTCTGTGGTGCATGGGTATGAGGATGTTTTGTGTGTATGTGTATAAGAGGGTGTTGGCTGTGTGTGTGTATGTGTGAGAGGGTGTTTGTTTGAGAGAGCCTGACCTCCCCAATCTCCCTCCCAGTTATTGACAGCTGTACAGTTACCGTGGCTTCAAACACCACACCCGAGGGAATCCGCTTCATCTTCTCCAACGTGTGTGGCCCGCACGGCAAGTGTAAGAGCCAGGCCGACGGCAAGTTCACGTGTGACTGCAGCGAGGGCTTCACCGGGGCTTACTGCCACGAGAGTAAGAGAATTATAATATGATAATCATTAATAATAATCATCCACAAATTTGGGTTTTGGATGGAGACTTAATAAGGAGTGTTGACGTAACCTTGTTTATTAATAATAATAATAATCTTTGCATTTGACATAGTGCCTTATCACGTCTTCGAGACATCTCAAAGCGCTTCACAGTATATACTGTAAAGTGAATTGATTGTATATTTCCTGGGCGAAATGCGGGCAGCTAATTGTCCCACAAACAGTCAAGAATTGATTGAGCGAATTATTATTTTTTTTAAAAATTGGGAAGGATTATTACCCCCAGAAAAGCGATCCACCGATCGACTTAACATCCGGGTTCCTACTCACTGTTAGGTAAACAGAGGTATGTGGAGTAAGGAAACTTGCCTAACGTTTCGTCCTGCCCGGGAATCAAACCCAAATCCTCTCACTTGCGAGGCGAGTGCTCTAACCACTGAGCTACGGGACTCTACAGGACCGTTTGCTTCTTAAATACATTTTTATCCACTTTCCCAATGTAGGTATTTGACAACCCACTCAGCGCTTTGAGGCCCCATTCTAGAGGGCCGTAGAATGGCCCTCTACGTCAATGCAAATTGTTGTTGTTGGTATTGTTTTCCTGCCTCATGTTGGGAAGACATCTCAAAGCACTTTACAGGAGTGACTGTGTATCTTGTGGGCAAACTCACAGCCAGTTTGCACACAACAGTGTTGCACAAACAGCCATGAAGCGAGCGACGGGATCTTTAAAGTCTGCCTGAAAAGGCACAGGCGGGACCTCGGTTTAACGTCTCATCCGAAGGTCGACACCTCTGACAATGTAGCGCCCCCCCCCCAACCCCAGCCCTGCACCGGAGCCTCAGCCTGGACTGAGCTCTGACCAAAGGCAAAATACTGCAGATTACTGGAAATTTGAAATAATAACAGAAGTAGGTCAGGCAGCATCTTTGGCGAGAAGAAAGTGAGTTAACGTTTCAGGTCGATGACCTTTCATCAGAACTCGGGAAAGGTCATCGACCCGAAACGTTAACCCACTTTCATCTCTCCATAGATGCTGCCTGAACTGCTGAGTGTTCCTAAACCACTTCTGTTATTTCTGAGCTGATTGGGTTGGTTTTGGCCTCATGATGTGTGTGAACGTGACCTTGTTTCTTGATTAAACCTTTTGTCTTCTCTCCCAATGTAGATATCAACGACTGCGCGAGTGACCCCTGTAAGTCCGGAGGGACCTGCATTGACGGAGTGAACGAGTACCAGTGCATTTGCCGCGAAGGCTGGGAAGGAGTGCTGTGTGAGATCAGTGAGTGTCACCTTCAGTTCCTTCACCCTTCCACTGCTCAGTTCATAGTAGTCTCGTGCAGGAGAAATCCCATCTCTATTTATTCTTATAAAGAAAAGAAACACGTACTCACCCGCTCTAAAACTCCTCACCCTGCCCATCTCACCAGCCCTCGCCAGGCTCCACTGACTCCCTACCACACACACACACACACTAAACTGCGGACCTCAATCAGGTCACCCCTCAACCTTCTAAACTCAAGGGAATACAGACCACGTTTACGCCACCTGTCCTAATAATTTAAGCCCTGGTATCATTCTGGTGAATCTGCGCTGCACCCCCTCCAGATCCAATGTAACGTGGCGTCTCCGGGAGCCTGTGTCAGGCGGAGTGGGGTTTGCCGTTTGTCGATTGTTGCTTAGGTTTTGTCCGCGCGTGTTCCAGATATCGACGACTGTGCTGTGAAGCCGTGTCAGAACAGAGGGACGTGCCAGGACCTGGTCAATGATTTCTACTGCGAGTGTAAGAACGGCTGGAAAGGCAAGACCTGCCACTCCCGTAAGTGTGCTCACTTCCTCTCACATTCACCCCACGTCACACGAAGCCTCAATTTCAAGATCCTAACATTCACGCATAAATCCTTTAGTGTCCTGGCACCTCACTTCCTCTCCGACTTGCTTACCCCCCACTCCACCACCCACCGCCTCCCTCGGCTGGCTCCAGACTGCCGCTCGTCCCTCGTCCCCTCAGCTCCACTACCGGCAGCCGTGCCTTCAGCCACTACACCCTGAGACTCTGGAATTCTCTCGCTCAATCCCTCTCCTTTGCCCCCTCCCTCTCCACTTTTAGATCACGCTTGAAGACCTTGCTCTTCTGTGCTTACGGACACCTCGCCGCATGTAGCCTCGTGCAGGAGAAATCCCATCTCAATTCTTCTGAAGGATAGAGGGATTAAGGGATATGGGGATAAGGCAGGCAGATAGAGTTAGGTTAGAAGATCAGGCATGATATTATTGAATGGCGGGGCAGACTCGAGGGGCCGAATGGCCTAATGCTGCTCCTAATTCCTAAACACAATGCAAAATTACATTTGTATAGTGCCTTTCACGTCAGGAGGACGTCCCAAGGCGCTGAAACACAGGGAATTTCCACATGTAGATGGCAAGCATTGTAAAACTCTGTCTGGTTTGGAGATGGGTTTCCACATGTGTCAGGCACCCGGCTGATCAGATCGTGTTAGTTGAGCATATGTGTGGCTGCCTGTAACCTATGTTGTTGTTGTTGTTTGCAGGGGACAGTCAATGTGATGAAGCCACGTGTAATAATGGAGGGACATGCTACGATGAAGGAGACACGTTTAAATGCATGTGTGCCCCTGGCTGGGAGGGCTCCACCTGCAACATAGGTGAGCAAACCAGCTTTGAGATGCCATCCTGACATGAAAGTTGACATGTAAATCTGTGTCAGCCTGGCTCAGTCACCGTGTGTGTGTCAGCCTAGCTCAGTCACTGTGTGTGTCAGCCTGGCTCAGTCACTGTGTGTGTGTCAGCCTGGCTCAGTCACTGTGTGTGTGTCAGCCTGGCTCAGTCACAGTGTGTGTGTCAGCCTGGCTCAGTCACTGTGTGTGTGTCAGCCTGGCTCAGTCACTGTGTGTGTGTCAGCCTGGCTCAGTCACTGTGTGTGTGTCAGCCTGGCTCAGTCACCGTGTGTGTGTCAGCCTGGCTCAGTCACCGTGTGTGTGTCAGCCTGGCTCAGTCACTGTGTGTGTGTGTGTGTCAACCTGGCTCAGTCACTGTGTGTGTGTGTGTGTCAACCTGGCTCAGTCACGGTGTGTGTGTCAACCTGGCTCAGTCACCGTGTGTGTGTCAGCCTGGCTCAGTCACTGTGTGTGTGTGTGTGTGTCAGCCTGGCTCAGTCACCGTGTGTGCGTGTGTCAGCCTGGCTCAGTCACCGTGTGTGCGTGTGTCAGCCTGGCTCAGTCACCGTGTGTGCGTGTGTCAGCCTGGCTCAGTCACCGTGTGTGCGTGTGTCAGCCTGGCTCAGTCACCGTGTGTGTGTCAGCCTGGCTCAGTCACCGTGTGTGTGTCATATCCTGTGAAGCGATTTGAGACATCTCAACAATGTAATAAGGCTCTGTATAAAATTCAAGGATTAATGGTATTATTAATTGTGTTATGTTTACATTGAGTGAGCAGCCTTCTGAGGTTGGTGGTTTGAGGGTGGTGGTGGGGTGTGGGGAACGATGATTTATTATGAAACTAAAGTGGAGTTAATGAGGTAAATAAACCGTGCTCTCTCTCTCCCCCCCTCTCTCTCTCTCTCCCTCCCCCTCTCTCTCTCCAGCGAGGAACAGCAGCTGCTCACCCCCACCCTGTGAGAATGGTGGCACATGTGTGGTCAGCGGAGACTCCTTCACCTGTGTGTGTAAAGAAGGATGGGAGGGCTCTACCTGCTCACAGAGTGAGTGTCCTTTCACTTGATCTCAAGGGGCTGGAATACAAAAGGAGAGGAAATGATGCTTCAACTATACAGAGCCTTGGTCAGACCCCACCTGGAGAACTGCGTACAGTGTTGGGCATCGCACCTCAGGAAGGATATATTTGGCTCTGGAGGGGGTGCAGGGCAGGTTCACCAGAATGATACCAGGGGTTAAAGGGTTAAATGGCGAGGACCAGTTGCATGAACTTGGCTGTGGATAAAAGGCCGCGGAGGCCGGATCTATCCAAATTTTCAAGATTGAGGTGGAGAGAGATTTGTCAGGGTATCGAGGGACGTGGAGACAAGGGCGGGTTATTGGAGTTGAGGCACAGATCAGCCATGATCTTATAGAACGGTGGAACAGGCTTGAGGGGCTGAATGACCTTCTCCTGTTCCTATGTTCTGTTGCGGGGCGGGAAGGGAAAGAGTGAAGTCGATAGGGAGTGGGAGAGGAGAGAGTGAGGGATTGGCGGGGAGAGAGTGAGGGATTGGCGGGGAGGAGAGAGTGAGGGATTGGCGGGGAGGAGAGAGTGAGGGAGTGAGTTGGATTTAATGGGTCTTTGCTTCTCAGACTGGGATCGGCCACACAGTATATCCTCACCCTTGTCTTCAAATCCCTCCACTCCTCTGCACCCCCCTAGCTCTCCTCAAAATAGTGCCCGTTGCCTTTGTTCCACCGGGTCTGGCCTCCTCCTTGTCCCCCGAGTCCTCTGCTCCACCCTCGGCGGCCGTGCCATCAGCCACTATGCCCGAGGCTCTGGAACTCCCTTCCTCCACTCCCTTCGTCTCGTCCCCTCCCTTCCTATTTTCAGGTCTCTACTGAAGACCTTTGTTTTCGACCGCCACCTTTGGTCACCTTCCTCCCCCTCCCCCGGGGCTCGGCCCCTCCCCGGGGCTCGGCCCCCTCCCCCGGGGCTCGGCCCCTCCCCCGGGGCTCGGCCCCCTCCCCCGGGGCTCGGCCCCCTCCCCCGGGGCTCGGCCCCTCCCCCGGGGCTCGGCCCCCTCCCCCGGGGCTCGGCCCCCTCCCCCGCTCGCCCCCCCCCGGGCTCGGCCCCTCCCCCGGGCTCGGCCCCCTCCGGGGCTCGGCCCCCTCCCCCGGGGCTCGGCCCCCTCCCCCGGGGCTCGGCCCCCTCCCCCGGGGCTCGGCCCCAGGATCCATTACTGTGAAGCGCTCTGAGACGTCCGGCGTGGAGGGTGCTATATAAATCCAAGTTGCTGTTGTTTTTCCCACCCCCTCCCGGCTTACCAGACCCTCCCAACACACACACCACACACTGCCTGTCCTGGTATCACCACTTACAGTCAGACAAACTAACACTTTATTATTTTTTTTCAGATGCAAATGACTGCAATCCACATCCATGGTAAATGAGATTGTTCCTTACAGTCATGCATTCTCTTATCTCTTCTCTCCTCTCTCTCTCTTGTTTTCTCTCTCTCTCTTGCTTGCTCACTCACTCACACTAATACTCTCTCTCAGTCGTGCTCCCCCCTCTGTTGCTCTCTCTCTCTCTCTCCTCTGATACTCTCGCTTGCGCTCTCTCACCCTTCTGTCGTTCTCTCTCTATTTCTCTCTGTGTGTATGTCTCTGTCTCTCTCTGTTCCCAGATGAGCTGAGCTGATGTTCTGATTTAATTCTCAGCTATAACAGTGGGACGTGTGTCGACGGTGAGAATTGGTATCGATGCGAGTGTGCGCCAGGCTTCGCAGGGCCAGACTGCCGCATCAGTGAGTATTACCCCCATTCCTCCCCTTTCTCTCTCTCTCTCTCATCCCCCCTTCTCTCTCATCCCCCCCACCCCCAATACTCATGTCCAGGTCATTAATGTATATTAAAAAATAGCAGTTGTCCTAATACTGATCCCTGGGGATAACACAGTACATCTCCCTCCAGTCTGGAAAAACAACCGTTTACCCCCACCCTCGGGTTCAAAACACTGATTGTTCAGCGCCTTGGGACGTCCTCAGCAACAACAATAACAACCTGGATTTATATAGCGCCCTCCATGCCGGACGGCGTCTCAGAGCGCTTCACAGTAACGGATCCCGGGACCGAGTCAGGGGAGGGGGAGGAAGGTGCCAAAGGTGCGGTCGAAAAGAAAGGTCTTCAGCAGAGACCTGAAAATAGGACCTCCCAACATGAAAAGCGCTATGCAAATGTAATGCTGTTGTTTCTGTCTCCCAGCCAATTTTGGATGCGTGCTGCATCTGTTCCCGTAAACCCATGACGTTGTTGAGACATCTCAAAGCACTTCACAGAATATACTGTAAAGTGTATATAAATATATGAGACGAGAGAGTTTTTTTTCTTTAACCCAGAGAGTTGTTACGGTCTGGAATGCACTGCCTGAAAAGGTGGTGGAAACAGATTCAATAACAACTTTCAAAAGGGAATTGGATAGGGACTTGAAGAGGAAAAAATTGGAAGGATATGGGGTAAGAGTGGGGGAGTGGGACTGATTGGGCAGCTCTTCCAAAGAACCGGCACAGGCACGATGGGCCGAATGGCCTCCTTCTGGGCTGCGATATTCTATGATTCTATCAGTGTAAACTGTGTGTTGTGGGTGAATTGTTCTGGGTTTGGCTCACGGTTTGCTCTCGTCTCTTCACTCAGACATTAATGAGTGCCAGTCCTCGCCCTGTGCCTACGGAGCCACGTGTGTGGACGAGATCAACGGTTACCGGTGTCTGTGTCCCCCAGGGAGGAGCGGGCAGCGCTGTCGACAAGGTGGGGAACACAGCCGAGTTCTAACCCTGAACCCCCGTGGAGCTTAGAGTCAAAGTTATTATAATAATTAGTAATAATCCTTGCCCTTGATACAGCGCCTCGTCACCACCTCGACTTGACTCAAAGCACTTCATGTGATGCACTAAAGTGTAGTGACTGTGTACTCTGTAGGTGAATGCGCCAGCCAATTTGGGCACAGCAACGTCCCCACAAACAGCCATGACCAATCAGTGACCAATTTTATTTTGGGGGATTGTCGGCCAGGACACCGGAGGGTGGTGGGTGGGGGAGAGAAACTCCCTTTTCTTTATCTTATCGTGCCGCAGGATCGTTAACGTCCACCTGGACAGGCACAGACGGGGCCTCGGTTTAACATCTCATTCGGGGGACGATGCAGCATTTCCCCCCCACCCACTCCCAGCACTGCACTGGAGCCTCAGCCTGGACTGACAGTTCTGTCCAGTGTTGGTCTGGCTCAGTCGGTCACACTCTCGTCTCTAAAGGGCACCGGATAAATGCTTGTTGTTGTTGGATTGTATCTGGTTGTGAGATGGTTGTTGGTTTCTCTGCTATAGTGACGGGGAGAGCGTGCGTGTTGAAAGACCGGGTCGCTCCACACGGAGCCAAGTGGGACGATGACTGCAACAGCTGCCAGTGTCACAACGGGAGGGTCACCTGTAGCAAGGTACAGCCTCCTCTGTGTCTGTCTCTCTCTCGTGTTCTCTCTCTCTCTCTCAGATCGTTACTTTCGGATGCACCGAGACAGTAGGACAAGAGGACACAGGGTTAGAGCTGTAAAGGGGCAATTTCAGGACAGACACCAGGAAGTGTTTCTTTACGCAGAGGGTAATTAACGACTGGAACAGGTTACCAGGAAGGGGGATTGAGGCCAGGATAGTGGGACTCGTTTACAAAGCAGCTGGATGCTGTGATGTGGGGGACGTTAGGGTGGGTGGGTGTTCTGGAGGGAGAAGATCAGATGTGCCGAAGGGTCTTCTTTATCTAAACCCAATCTTGGGGGTCCCAATTGGTGGGTGATCTGCCGCTTGTCCGCTAGCAGCTCGCGTGCGTGTGTGTGGCCTGTGTTAATGTAATGTGTGTTGTTGTTGTTGTTGTTGTAGATGTGGTGTGGCCCTAAGCCGTGCAGGACGAATGGGCAGGGCTCGGGATCCGGGCGGGGGAGGTGCCCGGCCTGGCAGGCTTGTTTGCCTGTCAGTGAGAGCCAGTGTTTCGTGCCCCCGTGTGCGGGCTGGGGGGAGTGCCAGGCTGCCAACCAACCCGGCGTCAAAACCAAGTGCCAGCCCAACAACGCCTTCCTCGACCGCAGCTGTGCCAAAATCACCCTGGCCATCAACCGCGATCTACTGCAGCCGGTAAGTCGCCACTGAGACCGGCCGAGCGGGGCTGGGGGCTGGATAGGTGGGGGACCTTCACCTGGTCAGGGTGAAACCATCGTCAAGTTTCCTTACTCCCCGCACAAACACCTCTGTTTACCCAGCAGTAAGAAGGTTGTTAAGTCGATTGGCGGATCGCTTTTCTGGCGGTAATAATCCCTTCAAAACGAATAATAATTTGGT